AGGGAATGGACCAAAAAAGAAAGTGGCTGTTTTTACACAATCATTTTCCTGGAATCCAAGGGAAATTAAACAGGGTTTCGTTGTTGTTGTTGTTTTCTACTTTTCTTTTTCTTTCCATTTTTTGCCAGGGTGAGTGCAACCCTGGTCAAACTATTCAAAGGGCAGGGCCCAAGCCGAGCTAATTCAGCGTGGAGAGTGCCACCTGGCTCTAAGCACCGCCCGCGAGATGCCACCTACAGTGTGACTGGAGGAACTACCCATGAAGGGAGGGCATCGCCTCCCAACTCTGGGGCGTCACGGAGCGCAGAGGCAGAGGCAGCCCAGGCTAGAACACGCAAGTTATCGCCCCCCCGCTCAAGCGCGCCAGCCCTCACGTGTCCCTCCGCGTGAGAGGACGTAGCGCCCAGGGTCACCCCGCGGACCCCTCCGCGCCTGCGTGAACCTTCTTCCTAGCTCCGTCCTGCAGCGTCGCCGAGCGCCTGGCCTGGGGCTTCCCGTGGCTTCTGCTCTAATGCTCAGCTTTCTCAGGGGGCCCAGCTGGGCGTCCTGCCCCCACTCCTTATCTCTGCTCTCGCCCTCTGTCCTCCACTCCAGCCACCAAACCCCCTTCCTGCCAGCCTTCTCCATTTCAAGGCATGGGTGGGGGCCTCCTGGGTCTGCAGCCTGTCCTGTGTCTAGGGCCAGCCACCCCCACCCCCAGCCGCACCCGCAGCCCCTCCTGTGCATTGGGGTGCACCTCCAGGCCTGGGTGTCGCAGCTAGCTTTAAGAGCTCCAGGATCCTTGCTGCATGTGGGGACATGGGACCCATACAAGCAAAGGGAGGGTGAGGCAGTAATGGACAAAAACACCATGCTCTCAAGAAAGAAGAAATGTGAGGATTGTTGAGTAAAGGAAGAAAATCACCAAGGTTTGGGTTTTTTATACACAATGCTTATCTGTCCTTCATACACCGATCCTGACATTATTCCCACATACGCCGCTTTTAAGAGCCTCCAGTCAACAGCTGTCTGCAGAAATCTTGACCCGTTTTCCACGTTTCTGGTATGGGCGCCGCCACTGGCTGAGGAAGCCTGGGGTTGCCTCACCAGGTCACTGAGTACACCCTTTGCTCTAAGCAGTTTCATACACAACCACTTCAGAGAGGTGAGCCGTCTCTCATTTTTAAAGAGACCACTTCAGAAGAACCAGCTATCATCTCATTAAGCGGGCGGTCTGATGACTAATTCCCTCATTTCCAGGAGACTGTCTTTTCTGTCTAACTTGAGCCTTTCCAACTGCTCCCTTTTATTCAGAAGAAAATGGGGCCAAATTAGGGCTGTGGCCTGGACTTGGTCTCATTGCTCTGACACCTGTCTTCCCATTTTTTTTCTTTTTCTTTAAATCCAGGCGACCATATTTCTACCCAGTCCTGTGGGTGTTCCTTCAACAGTGGGTGAAACAAAGAGGTGACAACCGTTAAGGACTCTCATTCTGGGAATGACCCACCTCTCAGTATGAACACCACCCGCCCTGTCCTAGGGGGCTAATTTCTACCATTTCCCACCAATTCGTTCATTGCTTATGGGGACGGTCTCCTGCTTGAGATTAGATTTGTATCTAGCTCATAGCTTTTCAAAGCATTCTTTGTCTCTTTCTAAACCAGACATGCCCTGTGGTCTATTACTACCGGGTATTTTCCCACCTTTTCCCACCTGCTGGCCTCTCACCATCTCTCCCTGATATTTCCACAGAAACAGCGAGCACTCTTGATGTTCTCTCGGGTCTGGTGGTGGCCAGGCCTTTACATTAATCTCCCTCTTGGTCTTGCCCTAGTCTAAGTAACGCCCTCTTGCTCTTCTTAGCTGTTTTCAGTTTGCTTATTCTATGGATCACTTTTTTTTTTTAATTCCAATAATAAATTCCTCCTCCATCCTGGGGGCTACATGTTACCTATTTTCTTTCCTTTATCTCAAGTGAAACTATACTAGGTTCCTTTACCCTTTCCATAAAAGATCTGTTTTTGCACAAGTTGCGGTTTTTTTCTGCCTTTTACTGCCCTCTTTATGTCTTTGTTACTCTGTCATCAGCAAAGCATGTTTCCATTGTTTCCATTTAACCCCGGAAGCCATTCTGTGGGATGTGTTTTGTCACTTTCTTTGCCACTTTAAAATGAGGAAACTGAGGCTGAGAGGCGTGGCCAGGGAGGGGCTGGACTTGGCCCGTCCACAGAAGGCGCGGCCCCGCCCCTCTGCCGGCCCCGCCCCCTTCGCGCCGCCTGAGTCCCCGGGGCGCTTCCTGTTCCTGCTTCGCTACTTCTGCGAGGGAGGGGCTGCGTCTTGCTGCTTCCTGTTGTTTGTCTTCTGACACTGCTTTGCTCTCTGACTTCTTCCCGGGATGATGAAATACGGCCTCAAATGTGTCGCCTTTACTTTTCATTTACTGACTCCCCTCTTTTTACATTGTCTCCTGCTGCTAGCTCCATACTGCGTTTGCTTCATGCTACATGTTATACATCAAGTATGCAATGAGCTACCTGTCACCACGTATTTGCGCTACCTCCCTTCAAAAACCACAAAGGACGGTCTCTAAAGCTTAGGTGCGGTGAAGAGTGTGGACCTCCTTGACGCCTCTTTCCACCGTCTGCTGTGGTCCGTCCTCCACGCATTGTCTTGCCTCCTCAAGCCTCTCCCCATCCGGTGCCTGCGCATCTCCTGTGTTTCTGCACTTCCTGGGCTTCCGGGCAACGCTGGCCTCCAGGCCAAGTAAGAGTGTTTGCCTCTGAAACAGTGTTCCAGCGCCCACTTCAAATGGTACCCATATGGCGACATCAACCAACAGTTCCAAACCAACAAAAAGGGTTTCCCAGTGTTTTAAATTTCACTACTCTAAAGTTCATGTTTTAATAAACTTTATCCGGAAAAGAGAAATAGACTGAAAATCACATCACAGAGCAAGGGAGCAGTGGGAGGAGGCCACAGGGAATGACGGGCCAGCCCCCACCCCAAGCCACACCTGCACAGGGGCCTGTCAGCACCCGGAGCGCAAATCCTCACCCAGAGGACGCAGTCTGGGAGCAGTTAGCTGGTGCCTCTTACAAGGGCAAATAAAAAATGTGACGTTCATGAGGGGAGACTTAATGAGAGTATTGTGAAGGCATTTCTAAAATGGTTTGCTACCTATTCCAGGCGACCTGTGCACTGTCCTCTACTCTCCAGGAATCAGCCTGATCTTCAGTTCCCTAAGGGATGTCACGGCGACCCTGGCTCCCAGGCTGCAGGGGACTTCAGGGACAGCTCCCAGGTTTCTTCACAATGGCCCTCAAACCTTAGCTCTGATGTCTGAGCTCTCCGTTCACTTCAGTGGTTAGTGGATACATAACCACACCATTTCTCCTGGCCCTGGGTCCCTGAGCCCCTCACGCCGTGTCCCAGGAGAGTTATGAGCACCTGTGTGTTAACGTGAACAATCCAGAGAGCAGCACCCATCTCACTGGTTGCCCCAGGGACTAAAAAATGAGACAACATAGGATCACCCCAACTTTAACTATTCATATACCACCTTTATCCCATATATATACCATCATGGGCTCATTTTTCTTTGAATTTGAGAGAAATCTTTGTAGCAGTAGGGTATGATTAAAAAGCATCACTTGCAATAAACAGAAGACAACCTTAAAAATAAATGCATCAATTACAATAAAACACACTCTCCTGTATCCCAGCCCTGAAATGATATGTGCAGAACAGAGCAGAAAATCCTCAAATCCTTCTCTCCTACCTCCTCTCTGACACATACAGCCTTTTTCCAACAGGGACAAAGAATTCAGAAATGTTCTTGTTTTCTTGGCTCATCTACATCAAATGGCTTTAGTCACCACCCTTGTCTGTTGATATAATTAATTGTATTATAAAAATAAAATAAATAAAATAAAAAAAGAACCATTGTACCCAGAGTCTACTTGGTTTCTAAGATGCATGAGCACACAACATAAGCTACAGCTGTTACATCAGGACGTCCTTCAGAAAGGTCACGTGCTATCTCATAACCCTGAGACTTTCGCAGATGCTGCCTCCTGGGGGGCTGGGGCTTATACAGCCGGTCAACCTATGCACCCATTCTGCCTCATTTCTACCTGGGTGCCATTCATGGTATTTTTTTGTGTGTGCAAATAAGTGGCTGTCAGTATCAGTTTTTTTCCTTTAAAAAGAAAAAACATAGGTATTTCAAGAACTGTTGACTTATTGGCTCATGAGAACACAGCACAATGAAGTGCAAACTAGTCTTTGAGTCAGAAATTGAGTCTAATTCTGACTCTGCTCTTTGAGCTCAGGTAGTTTCCTGAACTTCTTTCTCTGTGTCTGTTTTCTTACACTAAAGATGGTGGACTAAGTTTTATCATGTGAGCCATAGCATATGCGTCAGTAGCCAGGGGAGGGACTGTGGACACCAACCCTTTATGGAAAAGGCAGATGAAAGTATGTAAATGCATGCTGACTGAGCCCACCTAGATTTAGTTCTAACATTAAAAATTTTCTACCTATCAAATGTTCTATTTTCAGTGAAATTTGACATTTCAGAACTAGAGATGGGAGGGATAAAATCAAATGGGCAGATTAGCTCCTTCTAACCCAAAGCTCTAAAAAGCAATAGTCCTGCTGCCAGCACACATCAATGCACAATTTTCACTCTCTACAATCCGTAAACTTGGATGTTCCTGCAGAGCACTGAGGGCAGGAGATAGAGCTGGCGAGGTGACTGCCCATGGCAGGGACACTCCTCAGGTCTGCCCCCTGGCCCCCATGTGGTCTCACGGCTGCATTCACCTGTGGGCATCTATCCTCCTCAGACAAGAGGGCCCCCTCCTGCTGACCTTTAGTCTATTTCCTCAGCATGGTGGTTGAGGGGAAACTGCAGATAGAAGGACTCATGTCACCTACTCACTGTCTTTGGAAGGACAGAGAGACAAAGGTCTCATAGGAACAGACTCTATGACTGCCAGCTCACAGGCAACCCGACTCACCCACTCCTCTCTCACTCTTGGAGTTCTGCTGTCCTCCAGACGTGGTGGAAAGGTCTTCGGGGACAGGCATGGGCTCATCGCCATCGTCTGCAGTGTCACTTACTGGAGGGCTTTCCTTCCCTGAGGAGACAAGTAGGAGCTTGAGTTTCCGGAGGCACGGTCACCGCTGAGGACGGTGGTCCCTCCTGAGGGCAGTGGTCACTGGGGATGGACCAGCAGGGGGCCCGAGGCGCCTGGGCCTCCCCTTGGCTTGGATTGGGAGGAGAGCACAAGGAGGCAGTGACTGAATTGAGTTAATGCTTCTCTGTGGGGATTAAAATCCATTTTCCTTTTTATAAAAGAATGGCACTGTCACACCAAAAAACGAGAGAACATAGATGTGCAAAAGGAAAAAGATTATATAAACTACCTGCGATCTTAGAGATTAGCACTATTAAAATCATGGCACATGTGTGTGTACACATCTACACATATTTATATATTATAGATAATATTGGTGGCGTATTTTCTTCATCAAAAGTCTTTTAGACATTCTCATGAACACTTTTCCCTACAGCACCTGTGTAATCTCCACCGCATGGCTACACTAGGATCTATTTAAATCCTGTTTCTCTCTTTGAACTTATATTGTTTTCATTGTTTTTAGTTTTTATTAAACCACCCTGTGGTGAGCATCGTAATAGCCAGCCTTGGCGTGTGGTATGTCACCATGGTGTGAATCCCCAGAAGTTGTGTGCCGGGCATCTGAGGCTCCTTGTACGCTGTGCCGATCTGTTTTCCTGGAAGGCAGTCCCAGTTTACACTCCACGCCGGCTTCACCACACCGCGCGTGAATTTGTTTCTAAGGTCAGCAGGCTGGGCACCCTGCTCAGAGCTCCACATCCCGGGTCTCTTCCGTTCTTGTCGGGAAATACTTTGGCAGCTACCTAATTCAATTGTAGTTGGTGGAGGAGGGAAGCTCGGGAAGAGAACCATCAGGGAACCCAGGCCCCGGGACCACGGTTCCCTTCTCTCACACACAGAAAGCCTGCCAACAAAACCCTTTGAAACGGGAAAATAAAATGTAATCCTCACTACCACAAAGTAGGGTTTACCAAGTGAAACAGGGCTTTTCAAGATGCCTGTATCTGTTCTGAGTGAACAATGAAAACTGAGTTTAGCCACCTCCCAGAATCCAACCGTGGGAAGGCATGGCTGGTAGAAAAATGCTCTTTTTCCTTGGAAACTATAACTCCTTTATCTTCCAATAACCTAGAAGACCTAATTTACCATTTAGTTAGGAGACCTAAACTGCATGCAAGAAACAGCTGGCGAGGCCCTATGTTGATGCAAAGTAACCTTTAGAGCTGCTGGAGAAGACCCGTTGGGATTAAGATCCTACAGGAAGGTGACTAGAAAAGTGACAGACTGGCGTGGCCTGTTTGCTGGTTGGGTGGGCAACATGGCTCCATGGACAAGAGGGTCCCCCCCAGGCTCGCGGGCGTGTGCCCCGATGATGAGGGAAGGGTTGTCGTGCCCAGAAAACCATGGCTAAGTAGAATGTGGAAAGCTATTGTTTGTTTGAATAAAGTGCCTGCAGGAGCAACACGACAGAGGACTGGCAAGACCAGAGCAAGCGTCCCCATCGTGTGACATGACCCTTCTGGGGTAATTTAAAGTGGATCCTGCACAGACATTCTCTAGAAAACACGTCCCCGTGGAACATTCCGGCTTAGCTGTGATGACCGCAATTGGCCTATTTTCAGAAAGAGCATTATGGGGGTTATTTGGAGAGCCAATGCAAGATGAATAGTTAAAGTTGGGCATCATTATGAGAATTTCCCAAGGAAACACAAAAGGCCAGAGAGAAGCTGTTCGAAAGTGCTGGTGTCACACTAAAGCGTGGTAGCAGTGCATACGTCACCATTTTCACTGCCCTAAATAGAAGAATTTTTCACCTGTTTTATAAATGGGGGAAATTCTGGATACAAGAATGCAAGAGGCATATGGGCCATTTTACTTTTTCTTAGGATTGTCTAGAGCAGGGTTTGCAAACTTTTGAGATGGAAGAGCCAATCCTGTCCCTCACAACAATATAAAAATTATTCAAGAGCCATAAAACAAATGAAGTCATCATTATGTGAATAATATCCTTTAAAATTTTTATAAATGAAACTATGATAGTTTTATTTTCATTTTCAATTTTACTTCAGAGCCACATGTACGTCCCCAAAGAGCCGCATGTGGCTCATGAGCTGCAGTTTGCCAAAACCCTAGTCTAGAGTAATGGCTTTCAAACTTCAAGGGCTTCAAGGAGGTGGTCAAT